GAGGCCTCTCAGTCCAGTGGTTAACTATCTAGGCTCTGAACTTAAGATTCTTTGAGGTCAAACCTTGACTATGGTTGGCCACTGATGATTCCTATGACCTGAGTAATGTTACTTAAGTCAGCCTCAATGTTCTCATCTGTAAAATGGGACTAATACTCTTTTAGGATGAAACATACAAATACAAAGCCCAGTGCCTCGCAGTCAGTCTCTGCTCAGCTATACCTATACCTTTCTCTCCATTTCTCCAGCTCAAATGGGATGAAAGTACTCATGTTTATTTGATGATCCAATGATGGCGCTTAGAAGTTTTGCAAATAGGCTATCAATGGGAGGGGGTGTTATTATCATTCCTGCCTGTTGAACTTGTGTTCCAAGCCTCTGAGGCTTTCCTCAGTGTCCCTCTGCCTTCTTTCTCTATCTAGCAAACTCCTATCTATACTTTGAAGCCCAGCCTGGATGTTCCCTTCTGTGACTCTCCAATGCAGAACACCAAGGGCATTTTCCTCTGTTCCTTCAGCACTTTTTTTTTCATATATTTTACGAAGAGCTCTTCACACTGCAGTTACAGACAGTTTATCTGTCTGTTTGCCAGCCCCATGGGCACTGACCAGTGTTTGCTAAATTTGAGAAAATGAGTAAAGAGGGACCTATGACTGTCAGTTCTTGGGCACCTCCTGTGAAAGTATCTACACAGACATTCATGGAGGGAAGAAAAAGGGAGGGCTGAGTTATTTCTTCCCTTGCACTTCTAACAGCCACTTTATTTGGGGGAAATAACAAATTCCTATTAAAGGTATTGTCAGACCCTAATTAATTTCCCTGATCTGGCTATATTGGTCCTGTCTCTGCGCAAGGCTGTAGCGTTACCACTAATGAAACACCAAGACAGTGAGGAGCTGAAGCTCCCACCCTCTTTAATTTAGGGGGAGCATTAACAGCGCTCTCTATCATCACAATTACTGGGGACCGCTTCCTTCCCTCCCTGTGGTGAAACTCGGAGAGGAACTTGTGCAGCTAACTGCATATTAGAGGGTTTTAAATTTTTTCCAGAGGAAGGAGGAAAGGAAAAGATCCTTGCAGCTTGGCAATCTGGAACTGATGGAGCAGGATTTATAGATTCTCCAACCTCCCTTTCATTGCTTCTTTTTTCCTGGGGGTAAGAGGGGGATCTATAACAAACTGAGCTTTTGGTGTGGCTGTGCAAAAAAAAAAAAAAAAGGCTAAAAATGAAAGCGGAGAAGGCGGTGTGATGGTACCAAGGAAAGACAAGCACCAGGGGTCAGCTTTACTTGATCCCCTCTTTGTTAGCTGGCCGTGAAAGAGGACATTTGAGTCTGGTGGCACCTGGCTGAGGGTTCAGAGAATAATGACTAGTCCATGGAGCGACCTGTGCCCAGGCATGGTGACAAGTGTGTTGTTAAGTCCTGTGCTGCGGTTGTTCCATTTTTACACATGAGGAAACTGAGGCAGGGAGAGAGGTTACAGAACAGCCCAAAGTGACCCACCTAGGAGACAGCAGAGCTGAAACTAGATGCCCAGCAGCTTGGCTCCAGGGCGTGTACCCCACCTGCTGCACAGACAGCAGCCCTGGGCCTGCCCAGGACCCAAGGGGAGCCCCAAGGCCCCTCCCAGGAGACTCCCCTCCGGGAGCTGCAAACCCCTCTCCTGGAAGAGGCAGGGTGGCACCCCTTGGTCTTGAAGGCTTCCCCAGCTCTGGTGGACTTTGATTGTAACCAAATTAAGAGTGTAAACAAGATTTATTAGGCTTTCAATTACCTTCGTGGCACTGATTTGCATAAGGACAATGTGGTAATCACAATGGCTTTTTGAGTTACTCATTAAAAATATGAGAGAAGGCAGAAATCTTTGTAGGCGTCAAGTCTGGGTTGCCCTGGACTGACCTTTCCCAGGTCCCTTCTCTGCAGCGCTCTGTGGGCATCTGGAAAGTGGAATGACGGCCCGTCGACAGCTCAGTGGTCAGGACCAGACAGGGATGAACCCACAGTGCTCCACAGACCACTGAGCTCGAGCCAGACATGTGGGTACCCAGGGTTCCTCCCAACTGGCGACATGCTCAGAAGCTGGTTCCAATGGTCAGAGGCACAGGCTCCGACTCAGAGAGTGATGCTGCAGTGCTGACCTCCACGGCCTGTAATGGATGTGACCATGATGCCTGAACTGCAGATATACAACAGTCACAGCTTCTCCACCCAACAGCCCGGGACTTCGAGCATCTTGGCTCCCTCACCCTTTCCTGTTTGCTTGTCCTTAGAGAATTCAGACAAAGACCCCTGCGTCTTCGAACAGCCACACACCTCCAAGTACCGAATCATGAACACGCAGGGTCCCTAAGCTCACCCCCCACCCAAGGTTTCCTTAATGAAAGGCAGAGAGGCGCTGCCTCCCTCTAAGTCACCCGACACAGCTGTGGAGGAGGGCAGGCATAGGGTTTCCTCCTGTGACAGTACCTGACTTTCTCTTCCACTTCCTTTCCTTCTCATTTGGGAAATTACAGGAGGGACTCAGAAGGTGAGGTACCCCAGTGGGGTTTCTCTAAAAATGAGAGACTCTCCACCTGGAGGAAATTCACGAAGTTATAGGCAGAGAGCAGCCGCTCTCCAATCACAGGCCACAAAATGCCCTCGGAACAGCTCTGGCCTGAAGGAACGTGGCTTGGGCCTTGTTCAACAGATGACACTTCTTTCTGGTCTCACCGGCCCCACTATAAATTGGGACATGGGGCGGGGTGTGGATCAGGATCGGGTTAGTGACTGAAACCATGTCACTGGTCTTGAATGGCCGGCGGGGAGGAGGGTGAAGGGCAGAGCGCTGTGTGTGGTGCACTGCCCTGCCCCTTCCTGGCTGTGTGTTCTTGGGGAAGTCACTGTCCCACTCTGGGGCTTCCCTCCCAGTTCTGCCACTGGAGCGAAGGATATTGTCCAGAACGCCCATCGCCCTGCTGTGCTGCTATTCATCAACACTTAGCAAGTCTACCCGCAGGCAGAGGTCTCCCTTCTCTCAGAGGCCACTGCTTTGCCCTGTCTAGCACCCCATGGGCAGGCACGGGAAGCTGAAGCGGGGGTGGCAGCACAGCGCTGGGTGCCAGACAGCGGCTCTGCAGTCACAGCATTTCTTTAAAAAGCCAGTTCGAACTCTGGAATGCCATCCAAGTCCTTCAAGGTCAAAGTCCACCTCCTCTGGGCAGCCTCTTGACTGTCTCAGCCTGGCCACCTTCCTCCTAGAGAACCCCAAAGCTAACCTGTCTATCACCAAACCCGAGCTTTGCCTTGATCTGTCAGCTCCCAGTTTTGCCTCACCAAGTCTTTCTTCTCCAACCAGTGAGAATCAGCTGCTGGAGCAGAGACCCCCTTCATCTGTTTAACCCCAAAACCAGGCAGTCTCATACTTTCAGCTCAACTCAGCAAAGACCTGGCCAAGGGCTGGCTGTGGTCATGGCCAGGCAGGTCTGTGGCAGGTCTCCAGAGGAGCTGGCCTGCCATCAGCAGCTGCAGCTTTACTGAAATGGCTCAGAGGAGGGGTGGCTGAGAAGGACGTGAGATGTGGGATGATGAGAGGCAGGATGATTCTGGCAGGACAGAGAGTTAAGGAGTGAAAAGGTAACAAGGGTAAATGCAAAGTGTGTGGCTTGGATTGCACCGCCTGTGCTCAGCGGCTGGCAGCATTCAGCCGGAGAAGACCTGTGGCTTCTAGCCCAGCCGGGGTCAAGTGGGGGAAGGTAGACGAAGGGGGGTTTGGCCTCGAGAGTGGTGGTTCTCAACCACAGGTGATATCTGTCCTCTAGATGTGTGAGTCCTTTAGCAATGCCTGGGGGGTCACTATAGGAACTAAGTGGGCAGGAACCAAGACATGCCCCACAAAGTCCTGCACCATAAGATACTACCCTGGCCCAAAAGGCCAATAGTTTCCCACCCCCAGAAACACCCACAGAAGGGGGCTGCTCTAAGCGTCTGAGCTGTCAGACCGAGGGTGCGATGAGGCAGTGACTCTGAGAAGGGGTGGGGGGCTAGGTGGTGAAAAGCGCTTCAGAGCGAGGCAGGGAACCAACCCCCATCCTGCCCGAGCAGGTGTTGGACCCGAGGAGCTCTAAGTGCCCCTTCTGGCTCAAAGAATCAATTGACTCTGATTCGATTTATGAGCACGGCCAGTACCCGACTTCCCGGCAGCGCCTTGATGGTGTGACCCAGGTCTCCTGCAGTGCGCTCTGGGCTGCAGGTGCCGCGGTCAGGCTGCGTAATGAGTGTCGAGTGCCGACTGCAAATGCCCCTCCCTATGGTCAGCAGGACTCGCACTGGGAGAGCAGACAGCACAGCAGGCCCTGCTGTTCCAGGGTCAGCCTGCAGAGTGCTCCGAGAGAACAGCCTTGCTCAGCGAGGGACCTGAGAGATAATTAACTAGGACACTTGCCGGTCCTGACCACGTGCTCCTTCTGGGGTTGGTGGAGGGCAGACTGGCCAGTTCCTCAGTGCCTGGTGCCTCTGGCAAGCCCAGTATCACCTGTGACGCTGGGTTTCCGTGGCCCTGCCCCTGTGTTGAAGGCCCAGCCACCCTTGACTCCTGCCTGGGTGGCCTGGGCTTAACCCCCAAGCCCAGTGACCTTCCGGAATCCCTTCCAGCCCTGACTATGACTCTGCTCAGGAAAGAGGGAAGGCTCTGGGTTTAGGGATGCTAACTTTCTGCTGAAAGTCTAGAACCTAAAGGAAAAGACAGCTCTCCACCAAAGGGATCAAGCAGTCAGGCTGGATAAGACGGCGCTTTCAACTTCTGTTTTGATGGGGGACAAATAGCACCCACCCATGAGGATTTAAAATACAACACCCAGATTTTAGAAAATGTGCTGTCCTCCTGACTATTCAGGGGCCCCCACCCCAGTTCTCTCACCTGGGGGCATGCCCAAGGAGACCCGGGGGCCCGAGGGGTGGCTGTTCAGCGCCCACCCAAGCAGCGCCCGGCCCCACCCCGGGTGGTGCACGCCCACTCACCTGTGCGACAGAGTGGGTTTCATGGAGCTCATGGAGTTGAGGGGGGGCTGCATGGGGAGTTTCCCGGGGGGGTCGCTCTGGCGGCTCTTCTGATGTCGGAGCAGCAGCAGGCGGCCGAGCTCCTCGCACCAGGAGGACAGCAGGGCTGCAAGGAAGGACAGCATGGTCAGCGAGCTCGTGACTGGCCACTGCGCCCCGCCGCGCCTGATCCACCTCGCCCACGCAGGCTGGGCGCTCCTCATGCTGGCTTTGCCCCCACCTTGACACCAGTATTCTTGCCTAGACAGTGGGATTAACGCCTGAAGGAAAGAGGACCGAAAGCTGCTGTTGCTAAAGAAGATCAGAGGAGGGCAGAGTATAACGGCAAAGAGGGTAGAGTCAAGATGATGGAGAGGACCGCAGAGGCAGGGCCAAGGCGAGGCCGGAGGCCAGGAACAGACTGGCGTGTGCCCAGGTTAGGACCTGCTGGTTGCCCCCACACATCTCAGGGAGGCCCACACCCCTGGACTCTGGACAGTCGGCTAACATGGCTTCCTCCCCAGGAGTGGGACCCCGAAATCACAAGGTTTAAACAAAATCTGGATCCTTCCTAGAACCTGTTGCTGTTCCCAGGAGTGCTTGCAGAGTTCTCCTTCCCCCCAAAGTGCCCGGAAGAACACAGGTACATCCACCTTCCGGGCAAAGCTGAGATGGGCCCCCGTGCTACTGGGCACAGACGCTCGAAAGGACAAAGGATTTCCAGGGCACAGAGTGGCTCAGGGGTGGGGCAGGGGCCGAGCCAGAGTCTGCCGGGGGCGCCAAAGGCAGCAGCAGAGGAGAGCCCTTCACATCCGGGCCCGGGGAGGCCTCAGAAACCAGAAAATGCCACCAGAATCAGCTAGGTGTTGGGGGATGAGAGAACGACTTTCCTTCATCCTGAACTGTGCCAGTGAGGCCACCAGAGGCCAGAAGCACCCTCAAGGTCAGTGTTTCTGGGCAGCCCTTAAAAGCTGAGGTCAGGGGAAGGAGTCAGAAGTCAGGAAGGCTGGGTTGTCACCACCTCGCTGTGTGATCCTAAGGAGCTCACAGACCCTCTCTGGGCCTCAGTTTGCTGGCAGGGAGAGAGGAGTCATGACTCACGCTCTGTCTTGCCTCCAGGGCTGTGGCCAGGGGCAGAGGGGAAACTGCGGAGACTGTGGAAGCAAAATGGGTTGATCACAGCGCAGCCAATGCCCCGCTCCTGCCATCAATAATCAGTCGGACGGATCTGACAGTTCCAAGGGGTCGACCCAGTCAGGGGGTCAGGAGCCTTCTGAAGCAGGGCAGGACGCAAAGGCCACTAGCTCATCTCCAGGGTCAGCCATCTGAGTACTGTGCAACACGCCTGTGTGTCCTTTTCTTGAATCCATCCCCTGTGACCCACAGTATCAGCTGTTCTCCCCATTCTACAGATAAGCGGACTGAGGCTCAGACAGAGGAAGTCACTCGCTCACAGCAACCACTGTGGGGAGGGGCAGACACACAGATGGTGCCCCCGCTGTGTATCCTGGTGGGTGAAGCCCAAGGCTGAACCAGAGTGTGGGGGAGGAGATGAAACTCTTCAAAAGGCCAAACCAGGATTTCCCTGGTGGTCTAGTGGTTAAAATTCCCGCCTGCCAATGCAGTGGATGTGGGTTTGATCCCTGGTCAGGGAACTAAGATCCCACATGTCACAGGGCAACTAAGACCCAACATAACCAAATAAATAAATATTAAAAAAAAAAAGGGGGGGGGGGCCCAAACCAGGCGGCCACAGTCTCCAGTGCCCTGACTCAATGAGAAACTCCTCTTGCTTCTTCTGAGTCACACCCTTTACCGTGTTCAGCAGGCGATGGGGGAAGGGGCAGACACACGAGGCCCTGGGGAGACGGCACAGTGCTGCCAGTTCAAACCACCCAGACCTTGGATAGGCTCCCCTAGTAGCCCAAGGCCCGGAGAGGCAGGCTGGGGACCCTCTGAGACCCTGCCAGGCTCTGCGTGGGCCCCCGGCCCAGGGAGGCTCTATCAGGAGTGTGGAGTGGGGCCTGGCATCTTGAGGGGCAGCAGGCTCTTTCCTACCCCTTACTGGGTGGGCACGGGCCAGCAGGCAGCTTTTAGGACCAGCAGGAGAACACTGTCTATCCAGCCGTGCTGAGTGCTGGCTAGGAGGGAGGTGCTCACGCTCCCTGGGGCCTGCTGGGGACCAAAGGGTGAAGGAAGGGTGGTGGTTCTTGTGGGGATGGGGTGGGATGGTGAGGGGTCCCACCAGCATTGCAGAGTATGTTTGCCTGGTCTGTGCAGTGGGCAAAGATGCTCAAAGAGGCACGCGAGGTAGACATACAATCTGTGCCCTTCCCAACAGGGCACCTGTTTCTCCCTCCACGTGCAGGGATCAGTGGCCGAGCTGTCTTAAGAGCTGCATTCTGCCCCCTCAGGGGGCCTCACGATGCCACCGCCTGCTCAGGAAGGAGACTGCCAGAGAGGAGAGGCCCCCACCCTGGCTTTTGTCTGCCCAGAAACCACTGCAAAACGCCCCCGACACGGGTGCCCAGCACACATCTGCTGCAGCTGGAGGGGGAAGCAGCCTATTCATCGAGGCTGGAACAAACAGAAATGGATTTCCAGATTGCTCCATTCTTCTCCCAGGCCCCTAGTTACCGCTTCTTGTGCGGGGGGGCACCGGGCATCTGGAACCTCATTTGCACGCCAAGCACGAGGCCCAGAGGATCACAGCGATGGAGGGGCCGCTTGGCTGCCAGCACAAAGGATGGCCGCAGATGGTGCCGCCTGCTGCCTGCCCTGCCCACGGCTGCCCCTCCTGGCCCGCGCTCCTCCTGGGGGGCCACCGAGCCATGGGAGGGGCTGGGGGCACCTCGGGGGCATTCGGAGCTTTCCTCCAATGTCACAAGCCACTCCCCCATTTGGTCAAGGACGGTCCTTGTCCTCCTATTGCTATCAGAGAGGTTTTCCGTAGAGAGAATAAAGGGAGTGGTGTAGAGGGGCCTGGGATGCTGTGAGCAGATGTGATGTGGGTATTAGGCGGCCCCGACACAACACAGATGCCAGGACAGCCGCATTCCTACAAGCAAGAGGGAAAGGACAGGGAGCAAGGGAGGCACCACCCGTCACCCCCTCGGCCTGAGTGGCCAGCTGGCAGAGGCCACGCGGGCAGACGCAGAGTGGAGAGACACAGGGCAGGCTCTCATCACACTGCAAGCCAACACAAGCCGTTCTGAGGCAAATGCTGGTTAGTGATAACACATGGGGATTTGCAGCCACAAAACCAGAGACTCAGGAGGACAGACAGAGGCAGGCAGGGGATTATACAAGGACAGAAAGACAGCCTGGCAGGGTGAATGTCTGAGTGTGTGTCTGTGGCTATGCCTGGATCTGGGCTGTCTGTACACGGCTGAGTTGAGTATGCCTCTCTGATGAGGTGACACCAATGTCTACAATACTCCTGGGGAGCGAAGGAGAGGGGACAATGGTGAGCATGCCGTGGACGTGATGACTATGTGTCCTGGCTCTGGGGTTCCACAGACCGGGCTTGAACTGTGCCCTGATGCTCTCTAGCTGGGAGATTTCACACAGGCTGCTTCACTGCTTGGAGCTCAGTTTCCCAATCTGTGAAACAGATTTTCATAGGAGCTGCCCACCTCAGAGAGTGGACCTAAGCTGTAAACCGGTGCTGTTAGTCAACCAAAAGAAAGGGAGGGTTGGTGGAACATCCAAGCAGAAGCCAAAAGAGGAGGGTTGGTGGAGGCCCAAATGACCCTGTAACTCATAGCAGCCTCAGAAAAATCGCACTCACAAGTCCTGCTCAATCACGCATGTATCTCGGCCTTCACATGGCACCCATATAGCGGGTGAGGTACGGACTCCACAATCATCCCAGCTCGGTCTCTACCACCCATGCGAGACCTTGAGCAAGTCACCTAAGTTCCTGTGTCTCAGCTCCCTCATCTCCAAATGGCGGTGGCGGTAATTCTACTCCCTGTATCACAGACCAGCTGTCAGGATGCTGGTCAGGTGCTGAGTTACCACCATGAAGTGAAGGAACAGCATCAGGTGCGTAGTAGGTGTTCTATGTATGTTTGCTACAATGATGATCAGTATTATTGACCTTGGTTGGTAGATAAGCGAGGATGGGCTTTGGTGTCTCTGTCCACCTCTGACCATATAGCAGCAGCCCCAGGGGGTGAGTGGAAGAGAAAGCAGATTCCAGCCAGGGAGGCTGCCCTTTCGCACTCCCACTGCCTGCATGTGCCTCTGCAGCTTACCCAGGAAACCACAGGGGACACTAGGGTTCCATGGGCTTAAATAACTAAGTCATCTGCCAGCAGCACGTGTCTTACAGTCGAGGCCGTAGCACGGTGTGACTGGTGGTGTGTTTTTCTTTCCCAGCGGTAGATCAAATAGTGGTATGTATGACAAAGGGGGCTGTCTCCTATTCCTGGGACCCAGTAGATGTGTCTAGGGGCCCCTGCACCGGAGGGTGAGATGGTAAGGTGGAGTGGAAATGAACATGGGGTCTGAGGATCACAAAGGACACAGGATGCAGAGCTGAGGATGGGCTCTGGGGGAGATCCAAGTTCCTGAGATTTGCTCCCCAAGAGCCCCGAGGCTTCTGCCCCTACAGCTGGCAGCCACCACAGTGTCCTTTAAAGACAAGTAAAAAGAAACCAGATGTAGAAATGAAGGGAGGTCTGGAGTGAAGCTCTGGGGCATCTTAGTTCAGTCTTGTCCAAGATGTGACCTGCCTGGAAACAGTGAGAGGCCCTGTGTGTTTGCCTCTGCCTGCAGCTCCCGGCAGAAGAGATGCCCAGGCTGGGCTGATCCGATGAACTAGTGCGGGGCTGCCAGTCTTACCCGAAAGAGGCGGCAGAAGGAAGGGGCTGCATGGCTGGATCTGGGAACCATTGGGGCTCCAGGTAGGGAGGGTGGGGCTGTAATCTCCAGACCAGCAGAGTAACCGGCAGACAATGAGTCACTTATGGGTGGAGGGGAGGCAGAGGCTGGGGTCTGGGAGTCAGAGCATCAAAGGGGCAGATGAGCTCGCCTGGGCACATGCAAAAAAACTGTCCCTTGCCAGGCAGAGCTGGGGCTTAAAAAGCAGCCAGAAACCACAGGCAGTCATGTGGACACACA